CATTGTTGTTTGGCGGGCCCGGGCTGGGGATTCGAACCCACCACCTTAGGTGTACGTGGCTGGCGCCTTAGCCGGTTGAGCTATAGGCGCTGAGCCAGGTTGCAACAACTTTGTCTCAAATTCATAAAACCTCAAGAGTGTTTTTGTGCTATAAAGGCTATATGTGTCTTGTCAGGTGAAGTGGGGCTGACACTTACCTCCCCTAAGAATGGACAGGAAGGGACGGCCTCACAGCTAGGCAAGCGAGGGAGAAGGCGGTGAGGCCAGGGACAGTGCACAGGAAGATGCCTTTGCCGTAGCAGCTGGGTCCCAGAGTCTCAGCCCTGTCCTCTCTGGTTTCAGTCACAATGACAACTGCCCTCACCCCACCTTGTCTCCTGCCCTCCCCATCATAGCACTGCCATCTCCTCACCTGCTGGCCTCTCCCCAGAGTGTACTTCCCCGGGCCTGGTGGCACCATCTCCTCCTCTTCATTGAAGTCTCTGTTCCTTCCCCTGGCTTTGCTTCTTCAGAGCAGTTCTCCCCTGGCCACCTGAGTGTGGGTTATTGTGCATCTGTCCTCTGGACACCGCCCCTTCCCTAGTGTGGGAGCTCCCTAAAAGCTGGGACCTTCTGTCAAGGTCGTGTGTCATCACTTATCCCCTGAGCTGAGGAGACGGCCCAGGCACACAGTAGGTACTCAGGAAATAGGTATATAGGCGGTGCCCAGGCAGAATGTGATACTGGGCCCTGGCTTCCTTGATTTGAAGTCTTGTCTGGGAAGGATAGTGAATGTGCAGGCCGCAGCTTCTGTGCACTTACTGCTCCACACAGAGCAGTAAGGCTGGGGAAGGCTGGGACATTTGGGGAACGTGGAGACCCTGAACTGATTCCTTTCGTCCACTTCTTATTCTAATCCCCATCTGGTGCTCTGAGCCAGACAGCTTAAGCAGGGGTCCTCAAACTTTTTAAACAGGGGCCAGTTCACTGTCCCTCAGACTATTGGAGGGCCGGACTGTGGGCCCCAGGATGAGTCAGCTGCTAACCAGGATAGGCAGCGGTGCCAAAAACACCCGGCAGGCCGGATAAATGTCCTCGGCAGGCCACATGTATCCCGTGGGCTGTAGTTTGACGATGCCTGGCTTAGGGGCTGAAGGCATTGAGGCTTGTCAGGTCTTGAACCCTGGGCTGCTGTGCAGCAGTGGGCAAGGTCAGGGTGGGAGCCCCCAAAGCCATGGTTTCTGGAAAGAGCAGCCCACAGACCTATGCGTCCTGGTGGGATTTTATGACAAGGTGGCATCTTCCTGACCCTAGGAGGCCACTGAGGACGTCAGTGGGTAGGTGGCACCTCTCCTGCACCCTCGAGGTTAGCAACACAAGGGGAGGCTTCTCACTGCCTCGCGTGGAGGCTGGGGCTACGTGTGGCCACTCTCATTTAATTAATTAAAATGAAATAAAATTCAAGAGTCAGCTCCTCAGTTGGACTCATCACATTTCAGACCCAGTGGCCACACGTGGTAAGTGGCGGGGCAGTGCAGATATCAATGTTTCCATCATCGCAGAAAGTACTATCAGACAGAGCTATGCCAGCATCGGCCTCAGCTCTGGGCTGCCCCAGAGGCCGGCAGCATTCTCCTCCTAATCAATGTGAGGGCAGGTGGGGGCTCAGACCTTGGCTGAGGCCCGGCAGACTCCCCCGACCTTCCTTCTCAGCCCAGGTGACAGTGGGGAGAGGCGAGCAAAAACAGATAAAACTGCAGTGAGAAAACAGTCATGAGGGCAGCACCTGTGGCTCAAAAGGGGAGGGCGCTGGCTCCATATGCTGGAGGTGGCGGGTTCAAACCCAGCCCCGGCCAAAAAAAAAAAAAAAAACCAGTCATGAACATGGAAAAATTAAAGGTGGCCTAAGGAAATACTGCCTACAGTTCTCGGCTGAGCAGTTTGGAAAGCTGATGAGCTCTCCAAGTTCTCTGAATTGACACATGGAAACATGACTTAAGCCAGAGTTAGTTAGAGCTTAGGCGACTAAAGACTGAAAGGGCACCTGGACCAGGTCACAGTGAGGTCATAGCACACTTGTGAGTTAAGGTCATTATCATTCTAAAGTCAGCTGTTTCAGGCTATGGAGGAACAGACATGAAGCTCTTCAGTTTGTTTTGGGAGGGTGGAGAGAGTCTTGTTGTATCATCCAGGCTGGAGTGCACTGGTGCAGTCATAGCTCACAGCAGCCTCAAATGCCTGTTTCAGCCTTCTGAGTAGCTGGGATTATAGGTGGGTACCACCACACCAGGCACATTAAATTTGAGACAAGATCTCACCATGAGGTCTTCAACTGCATGGCCTCACGTGAACTCCTCATCAGCCTCCCAAAGTGCTAGAATTGGAGGTGTGAGCCACTGGGCCTGGCCCACAGTTCATGTGACTAGCCGAACGTGATGGACAGTGGAATGCCTAAAAGAAAAAACTATAGGCTGATTTCGCTTAGGAATATGGAGTTTTTCAAAACACAAATCAACTGTCATCTGTCCAGAGGAAAATTAAATCTGACCCAATTTACATTGTGGAGAAATAAGTTCCAGGTGACTCAGAGACTCAAAGATGAAAGAAAACTAAGAGACCTGTGTGAACAAGCTTAGGGCGAGAGGCCTGGTTCAGCACTGCCAAAACCCTGGGGTGAGAAAAGACAGCCATCTTCAACTGTGCAGAAATTAAAGTCCTATTTTTATTTATGGCTAAAATGGCCCTGCGTGAGGACGACAAACATACAGTTGAACAAAAATGACCTAACGGGCAAAGGATATGAGTAAGCTTTATGGCCAGGCCTCCGAGGAAGCTGCAGGGGTTCTGGGGCTCTGGAGCTGATGTGGCTCCAGTGGAGGGCTTCTGCGTGGCCTCTGCTTCCTAGCAGGAGGTAAGGGGTAAAACAGGCACGTGATAACATTTTCCCACTGAGAGAACTGTAGGGCTCTCAGCTCTGCCGTTGTGCAGAGGAACCTCAGGGTCTGAAGGGTGAAGGCCTCACAGTTGTGTGGCTTTACTGAGAGCTGCCACCAGGGCCAGGACTTTGTTTATCACAGGACACATCTCCAAGAACAACCTGCTCCCAAAACCGTACCAAATGGTTTGGAGAAATCTCTTCATAAGTTTTCTTTTCCCCACAGAACTGAAGGAACGAGGGAGGATGACAGGAGGGCCGATGCCGGGCAGGAAGACCTGTCACTTGACAGGAGTCTATCTCCTCCATCCAGTGTCCCTCAGGCACTTAACTTTTCTCCTGAGAAAAGTGATGTCAGTTTTTCAAAAATCATCACCACAGCAGGAACTCCTGATGAAGCAAAGCCCAGTGAGGACGCAGCCCCTAGTGAGGTGCGCTGAGACAGACTTGCGGTCTACTTATGTTCCCTGCAGCTAGTGGGGACTGGTCTGGGAGCCACGCGGCCACTCGAGGACAGCGGGCTGGCAGGGTTCCCTGCAGCACTTTGTCCTGTGACTCTGGCCTCCAATGCCAGCTCACCCAAGGAAAGGGTCAGGGCTTCCAGAGCTCTAGAGGAGAAAAATAGCAACACCTTTCCTAAGTATTTGACAGAGATGAGGGTCGGGGTTCAGAGGTCAAGAAGAGGTTGGTAGGTAGTGGGAGCTGAGTAGGCTGCTGGTAGCCGGGGAAGAGGCTTCAGCCAGTAACACAGCACGGACGGAGCCTCCCGCAAAGGGCCTGGCCCAGCCATCCTTCCTTGAGTCTCTCAACTGTCAACCCACTTGGGGACACAACAGTGTACAGGGTTCCCAAGGTGGGTGACAAGATGCGGCTCCTTTGCATTTGTGTTCTTGTCTAGGCTCTTCTTATAGATGTCAGACTGGACCTGCTGACCGCCACGCCCAGGGTCGAGAGCGCAGCCCTCGCTGATCCCCCTCTCATCGACTTGGGCAGTACTCCTGAGGCTGGGGCACCCACGGGGCCTGAGAGCAGGCCTCTCATTGACCTCCTGATAAACACACCAGACATGAACAAAGATGTCATGGTGAAACCTCTACAGGCAGCAGCGCAGGTAAGGCGCCCCGGTGTCTCAGTTCAGCACAGTCACCCTTGGGAGCAGCCATGGAGGCCTTGAAGGGCCACACGTCTCAGCACATGACTCACCTTTGATTGCTGACCCTCCCGGAGATCACCAGGAGCTCATGGAGGGCAGGGATTGGACATCTCCCACCCCACAGGCCTCAGGGCCGTAGGTGCAGCGAGGGAGGCCCATGTGTCAGGGCCTGGGCTTGTTAACATGCATCCTTTTCTCCTTCCTGCTCCTTAGAGAGAAATGATGGTTTGGGGGGGGTTTAAGACAGAGTCCTGCTCTGCCCCCCAGACTATAGTGCAGTGGTGATATCATAGGTCACAACCTCAGACTCCTGAGTTCAAGTGATCCTCCTGCCTCAGCCTTCCGAGTAGCTGGGACTATAGTGCCTGCCATAACATCCAGCTATTTTTTTCTGTTTTTAGTAGTGATGGGGTTTCCCTCTTGGCTCAGGCTGTTCTCAAACTCCTGAGCTCAGTAGATCCTCCTGTCTTGGCCTCCTAAGTCCTAGGATTATAGGTGTAAGCCACCACACTCAGCCAAGATTTTTTGTTTTAAGAGATAGGGTCGGCTCGGCGCCTGTGGCTCAAGCGGCTAAGGCGCTAGCCACATACACCTAAGGTGGCAGGTTCGAATCCAGCCAGGGGCCGCCAAACAACAATAATGGCTGCAACCAAAAAATAGCTGGGCGTTGTGGCGGGCGCCTGTGGTCCCAGCTACTTGGGAGGCTAAGGCAGGAGACTTTGCTTGAGCCCAGGAGTTGGAGGTTGCTGTGAGCAGTGAAGCCATGGCGCTCTACCCAGAGTGACAGCTTGAGGCTCTGTCTCAAAAAAAAAAAGAGAGATAGGGTCAAACTGTCACCCAGGCTGGAGTGCAGTGGCACAAATGTAGCTCAAACCAACCTCAAACCTGGGCTCCAGGGATCTTCCTACCTTGGTTCACCCAGAGTGCTGGTGTTCCCTGTATTGCTGTGACAGTGCTGAGCCCCAGGTGGCGTGGCTCCCAGATACCCATCCTTAGTGTTGGCAGGTATGATGGGGCAGGGGCACCTGGCCGCATGTGTGCTCACCTTCTCTCCGTTCTCTTCCAGCTCATCGACCTGGGCTTGCCTCTGATCCTGCTGAGTCCCGAGGCTGACAAGGAGAATGTGGAGTCGCCGCTCCTCAAGTTCTGAGTGAACGAACAGAGCCCTTTGTTAAAAGAACAGTCCATCGTAAGGTGGTTTTCAACCCTTAGGAGCTATTTTATTAGAAATTTTATTTGAAAAGGAAAAAAAAGCCTAAATAGGTTTGCTGTGCCTGGAAGGAGTGGCATGAGCCTCTGGGTTCAGTGCTGATCCCTGATGTCGTCAGTGTCTGCAGCTGCCCTCCCTGCCCCTCTCCAGACTGATCACAAAGCTGAAGTGACTCTATAGGAAAAACTTCATTTTAAATCTTTTGTATGTAAAATGGCAAGTGCCTATTTTAAGTTTGTATGAAAAGTTAAATATTGTAGATTTAAGTTAAATTGTAAAATAAAGTATATTAAAACATATCTTGATTTTTAAGCTTGTCTTTATTTTTCAACACATTTAGCCATTTTTATGCAGGACTACTACCCAAACTAATGCTTTTATAAAAGAATTTCAAAAATCAGTCTGAATAAAAATTGTTTGCAGGTCCTGGGCCCACGCTCTGGTCTCTGGGTCCTCGGGGCAGGTGCAGGGTCCTGCACTATTAATAGGCCCACAGATGATGCCCACTTGACAGCCCACAGACCACATACACAAGAGGCTGCTCTGGGGAGACGTGAGGACAGGGAGGGAGGAGGACCGGCTCCTCTGGACAGTGTCTGCGGGCTGTGCCCCAGGAGCCCTGTGCTGGGACAGACCTTTGGCTTCCATGTCAGCAGGGATGTTACTGAGTGAAGTGCCTGGCAGGGACGGCGAGAAGCCTGTTCTCCATTTGGAGCCTCTAATATCCTTTAACATTGGCTGGCCTGGAAACCAGTTTGTATACTATTTCCTCATGAGGAAGTTTCCCATGGAGCTTCACAGAAGAGTGACCAGCTGCACTCCAGTGTCCTGGATCACACTGGGACCTTTTCTGTGCACAGGGCACTTTGAGCTTTCTGTGCAGTGGTTCTCAATCTGTGGGTCATGACTCTTTTTTAACAAGGAAAATACATGGCGGCATTAGGAAGGTTGAGAACACTGTTTCTGCAATTCAGGTGACAAATGTGGATCGCGGCCTGTGGCTCAAGTGGCTAAGGCACCAGCCACATACACCTAAGCTGGGGGTTTCGAATCCAGCCTGGGCCCACCAAACAATGACGGCTGCAACCAAAAAATGCCAGGCGCTGTGGCGGGCGCCTGTGGTCCCAGCTACTTGGGAGGCGGAGGCAGGAGACTCACTTGAGCCCAGGAGTTGGAGGTTGCTATGAGCTGTGATGCCATGGCACTCTACCCAGGGCAACAGCTTGAGGGTCTGTCTCAAAAAAAAAAAAGGTGACAAATGTGAAATTGCCATTTGGACCTTTGACTCCTGTGGCTTTGAGTATGGACAAGTGCAGTGGGCATTGTGAGCCACACATGTGGACAGAAGCTTTCCACCGACAAGAAGAGAGCTTCGAAGTCCTGCACTCTTGACACTGGAGCTGTCAGAGCAAGGCACACTGGCTGTCATATAGGCCCTGGCTGGCTGCAGAGAAGCCTTGAGCAGTGGGCTACAGGGAATTCCAGAGTCCCAAATGTTAGCATCAGAAGGGTCTTCAGCCTCTGGTCTGGCCCTTCACTTCATGGGGCAAAAAAAGCAATCTGGAATTGGATTAGTTTTCTCAAGCAATGTACTGAGACTTTACTATGGGTCAGGCTGCATTTATGCCGAGTGTACAGCCAGGTACAGAGCTCATGCATCCCGTGATGCTTGGCAGGGGGAAGATGTTAAAAACCCACGGAGTCTGTGATAATCCAAGCCCCGGAGGGCGAGCTGAGCCTTTGCCTCGGCCCTTCTCTTCCCCACGTGGCCTCAGATGCAGCCAGCTGCTCTCTTTGGGCCAAGGTGTTGTCAGGCCCCACAGTGTGCCCAGGCAAGACAGAAGAGATCTGACTTTCATTCTCTTCAGGCAGACAGAAGGCGGCCCTGAAGAGCAGGAGTTGGAGAGAGCAGCTCCTCTCCTGAGCCTTTAGCTGCCTTCCTTTCTAAGTCTCTACATCTGGCTGCCTCCGCTGCTATGGCTCTGACAGAGCTCCTTCCAGGCACTTCTTCTCCTGGCCCCCTGCCCTCCATCCACCACTCTGATAGTCAGCTGGAGACTATGCTCCTGGACACCTGGGTGCTGGCCACTTTCCCTTTACAGTGGCACAAAGTGTACTGGCTGCTGCCAGAGGCCAAACTTCATGGGGAGTTTTACATTTCCTTAATGTCGTGGGGCAATGTCTTCCCATTTTGTTTCTAACCTTGCTGTTGGCAGGCAGTCATTGTCCTTGTCTTAGCTGGCCCACAGTGGGTCCGGATTATACACAAAGGGTTCTTAGAACTACAAACTAACTGAAAATCATACAGATGACTAAAAAGTAACAGATAGCATGTGCCAATGAATCACGTCTAAGCCACCTTGTGGAATGGCTGTGACTGGGACTTAGCGTGCCCATCACAGACATGCCCAGGAAAAGTGTGGCTTTCTAGACCAAGAATAAAACTCTAGCAAGCCAGCATGGCCACAGCCTAGCGTCAGGGGTCCAATTACTGAGCTCTTTATCTCTTCCTGGAAATCCAGGATGGAACTGCTACCCTGTTGGATACTTTCCTGATCCTTTGTTCTTTTGAAAAAGCAGCCATCCATTTGTTTTCCCACAGGGGCCCTGTCACGTCTCTCTCCTGCTTGCAGCTCACCCTGTACCTCCTCTTGCCTTAGCAGCCAGGACTCTCCCGTTGGCAGTTCTAGCTTTTCTTGGAAATGGAGACTTTAGAGCAGTGGTTCTCAACCTGTGGGTTGTGACCCACAGGAACTGTATTAAAGGGTTGTGGCATTAGGAAGGTTGAGAACCACTACTTTAGAGCTTTCTTCATGTTACTTTAGTCTAGACCCTTAGACTATTTCTGTTCTCAAAATGATTTGCTTTAATAGCTATCCACATGGGAACACTTATGTCCACTGTTAACCCTTCAGGAAACTGGTAAGAAACTAACATGATTTTAATGCCAAGCTTTGGTGTGTGAATTATCTCCCTGAGCCAAAACCACCTGCATTTGTAGTGGCATTTCCTCCTCTAAAATATCTCAAACTGGTTTAAATCTTCCATGAAATCAATTTGGTGGATTGCACCAGCCATTTTAAAAAGTGAAAAAGAACAAAGTAAAAAATGAGTAACTGGCACATTCTGCAAAAGCTAAGAACTGTTTCGAGAAGCATCTTCTTTAAACTTATATGGGTCTGCATAGACAGCCATGTGTAACTTACACATGTCTGCACAGATAGCCATGCACTCTGGTACTGTGGGTTCAAGCTGAAACTCTGGGAGCTGCTCCCTTAAAGGTACCTGTGATTTGCACATGTCTGCAGTGTTTGGTGTCAATCCAAACCTCAGTCTTCTGCACCTTGCATCAGTGCTGGTCTGAGCTGTGTCATCCCTGGCCTGGGCCCTCGGTTCTGTGCACCTCTTTGGCTTCCCAGCCTCTCTCCTGGTTGTCCACAGGACTCCCAGCTGGCTCTGTGTCCAGTTCTCTTATTTGGGCCTCTTCCCTTGCTTTCATTTATACCCTCCTGACTTCCCATGCTCATTTGGCCCAGCAAATATTTCTGGGTCCTTCCAGTGTCCATTTACAAGCCTTCCATTTGATGTTTCCCCCGTCACCTTGCCTCTCATTCTGTGTCCACACATCAGCAAGGACTACAGATCCTACCTCTAAATGCATGGTGTCTTTTTGCCACCATCCTTGCCTTTTCAGAGCACTGTCATGACCTCCTAACTAGGATCCCGGTACCTCCTCCAATGCATTTTACACAGAGGAGCCAGAAAAATCTTTTTAAAAGATTTAAAATTGATCATTTCCCTCCCCTGTTTAATACCTCCCATAGCCCCCTCTTTCTCCTGCGTTGATCCTGTCCCTGCATGGGCCCAAGGCCTTTGTAGTGTGCTTATCCCTCTGCCAGCTTTTCTTTCCTTCCTCACTTAGTTGATGCTGTGAAAGTTGTCAGAATGAAAATGGAGTCACTTGTGTTAAAAACACTTAGAGCCAGGGAAGCCCATGGAGGGCGGGTTCTCAAGTATAAATGCTTGTTACGGAGAACTAATCACTAAAGACTGCAAAACCACAAGCTTGCACTACGGCCAAGGCCAACTTACGCATTCCCCCAAATCAACTCTCCCCTGAAAGGACATCTGCCCAGCAACTGCCTGTCCCACCTCCCACCTGCCTGGCATTACCCTTGTTACTAATCCTGTAGGATAATTATCTCAAAACAATTACCTAATCCTCGTTTTTCCTTTAAAAAGTTTTGTCCTCCTTCACACACACATGGTTCCTGTAAGCGCACAGTTTACCAGGGCACCGCATTGTCGCTGCAATGCCTCTTCCTGAACAATTTTTCTTTCAGTCTCTCGGTAACTGAGCTTGACCACGCCAACTCTCCTACTGACCCCGGGGGACGATCTCAGCACTAGCCTCCCTCCTGCCTGCGTTCAATGAGCGTACGAAGCCTCTGCTCCAGGCTCGAGCCCCTCTTAGGAGCGGCGATGCTGCCGGGGACAGAAGCCGGAGTCCCCGCCGCGCAGGACGCGCCCAGGGCTGGGGCGGCCGGCTCTGATACAGCCCAGCCGCTCGCAGCCCCGGCAGGGTCTCTGCGCTGCCGGGGGTGGAGGAGCCGTAGTGGCCCTGAGGGGCGGGCCAGGTGGCCCTAGCCACTCGGCTCCCGGCGCGCTCCGGGAACACCCGGGCGGAGGAGGGCCGGCAGAGGCCAAGCGGAACGCCGGCGCGAGGAACGCGCGTCTGGCCGGTCCGTGAGCGCAGTCGCCGCGGGCGGGGCGGGACTTCCGGTGCGGAGCGGAAGCAGCGGCAAGTGGAGAAATTGGACCGGCGGGCGGATGCTGGCGGTGCGGCACGTCGTGTGCGCCCTGTCCGGCGGGGTGGACAGCGCCGTAGCCGCGCTGCTGCTGAAGCGGAGAGGTGAGGCGATCGAGGCCCCTTCGGCTCTGCGGGACCCTCGTCCTCCTCCTGTGTGGTCAGAAGTGCGCGAATGTGACTTCGAGTGCCCGAGAGGAGTTACGGCCCCTCCCCAGTCAGAACTCGCAGCCGATCGCGAACCTCCTGCCTTTCGAGGCCTAGTGGGAAGGGTTTCTCACTGTGCTGGCGGCGTCCCCTGCCAGGCCACGGACAGTGGTGACAGCAGCTGGATGATCGGTCCCTAGGGCCTGACGCATGCATCACTGCGGCCGCCCGCTGGGGTACTTGTCCTCCGACTCGCTAAATACCGAGCAGTACTGAGCTACGCGTCTGCGCATTAAATCACTTCTGTGCTCTCCGTTCATGGGGTGCCAAGCTTTTCCTCCAAAGCTTGTGCATGTGTTTGGGGGCGTATAAACAACGCCCCAGGAGTGCTTAGGACTCGTGGGGTCCAGAGCTGAGATAAACTACCTATGTAAAGTCTCTATCTGTGTGGCTCCTCATGTGAGGCTTCATTGACATGGAGGGTCGTAGAGCCTCTGCTGGGAGCCACCTTTGGAGACACTTGGAAACAGAGATGCCCGCAGGGTTCTGGACCTAGGGCAAGCTGATTAAGCCCTCCTCCTCAGTATAGTGGGGATAACGCCTACTTCATAGGGTGACATTGGAAGCCTTAAATGACATACATGTTGAAGGGTTTACCCAGTGCTCAGTACATGCAAGGTACTGAGAAAACAGTTGTGGATATTAGTTTATATTCTTTGTAACCATACCTATTAGGAAAGGTATATAAGCGCCAAAGAGGAGGACAGGTAAACCGTAAGTGCATATAACTGTGAGAATCAAGGAAAGCATCTACAAGTGGAGGTGTTTGAGCTGAGACTTGGAGGAAGAGTGGGATTTCACTAAACAACGAATTAGAAGTATCAGATGAGGCAGAGTCAGCAGCAGAAGCAGAAAGGCAGAGGTGTGAAAATGTTGCCTGGGTCTGGCCAGATGAGGTGGAAAGCTGGGAGGGGGGCACTTGAGCCAGGTTATGGGAAATGTTATATTAGAGACTTACTATGTTGGGTTGACAATTCAGAGCCCTTGAAGGTTTCTCATGGGCATGACTAGATGTTTTGGGAGATGCAGAAGACCAGATAAATCACTTTCTACTTCTGCAAGAAGGTAAGCTCCTTACTGACTGCACAATCTCATATTCTAACCCTCCTTGAATTTTTCTCCCTGGAGGAGTTTGATGGACACAGCAGAGAAAAAGTGTGGTACTCTTATTTTGGCATTGAGAGCTTTCCGGTCATGTTGGGGGCGATGTCCTATGATGCGCCTCATGGAAAGTAATTCATCCTAGAGTGTCTGAGCCTGTGCCAGCGTCAGTGGGTCCCATCTCTTCCTAAGAAAAAGTATCAGTTAGATGAGGCTATAGGAAGAGTGGACTTTTAAAGCTTTGTGTGTAGCATTGTTTATTCATTCTGCAAGTTCTTTTTAAGCTACCGTTATATGCTGGGCACTGTACTAGGTGCTGGGGCACAGGGTTGAATAAGACACAGTTCCTGCCCTTGAGGAGCTCCCAGCTTTAGTGAGTCGTAGGGCAGACAGACTGGAATAATTGGAGCCTGGTGTGGTAAGGTAAGTAACAGAAATAGAGTCAGGTGCTTCACGAGGCAGGTGCTGATCACCATCTGGGATGGGGTGGTCCTGTGCATGTGGTGTTTATAGTTTTGGCAAAGCTTTGTCTCAAATCCCTGTTCTTTTGGGTACTATACCTGTTAGATGTCATTACATTCCATATACCCACAGAGACCAGATTTTTCATACAGTGCAGGCGCCTATGTAGTTTGCTAGCTAAGTTGTATGGGGTTAAAGTTGGTTTTTCTGATAGTTGGTTGATTACTTTGTCACAGTAGAAAAGGGGGAAAATAAGTCATAAAATATGGGCTATTTTATAATAAGGGCTATAGGTGGTTAATATCCAACATTTTAATTTTAGATGACTTACAATCTAAGGCTTAGATGATAACTTGAAATAATTTGAAATGTTCCTTTAGTAAGTAAATGGTGGTTTTTGTTTGCTTTGAAAGATTTTGTTGGCTCCGCGCCTGTGGCTCAAGCGGCTAAGGCGCCAGCCACATATACCTGAGCTGGCAGGTTCGAATCCAGCCCGGGCCTTTTAAACAATAATGATGGCTGCAACCAAAAAACAGCCAGGCATTGTGGCAGTCTCCTATAGTCCCAGCTACTTGGGAGGCGGCAGGAGAATTACTTGAGCCCAGGAGTTGGAGGTTGCTGTGAGCTGTGATGCCACAGTACTCTACCCAGGGTGACAGCTTGAGGCTCTGTCTCAAAAAAAAAAAAATTTTTTTTTTTTTTTGTTGAGTTTTGGCTTTTCTTTCATTTTCTCAGCACATGCTTGCTAAGCCCCTCCTCTTGTGCTAGGCATTGATGAAAAAATACCATCTTATTCATCTTGTACTCAGGCCATTTCAGTCCAATAATGTGTTGTGATGATGAAGCACTTTTACAAAGTGCAGCAGAAATACAGGGGAAGGAGCACTAGTGGTGGGACCTGGAGCCCTGAAGGCCACAGAAAGAGCAGGGCTTTGCAGGCAAACCAGGCACAGAAGCGTAGTGGCACTTTGGGAACTGCTCAGAGCTCAGAAATCACTGCCTTTTTAACTGAAGGTTGATTAATGTATTCTCTGTAATTCCCTCCCCAGGTTACCAAGTGACAGGGGTATTTATGAAGAACTGGGACTCTCTGGATGAACATGGAGTTTGCACTGCTGACAGAGACTGTGAAGATGCTTACAAAGTTTGCCAAATCTTAGACATCCCTTTTCATCAAGTGTCCTATGTGAAGGAGTATTGGAATGATGTCTTCAGGTGAGGTCATCCCGTAGGGGGCTCCATGATGCACTGAGTCCTTTCCCACGGAGGGATTGCTGTAGTTCCACACTGACGCCTGCGCAGCCTGACACACTCTTCTTTGACAAAGGAAGCCTTGGTTGGCCTGGGACACCTGTGGGTTAGAGGCGAGTCCCATGTCTCACAGCACCTAGTTCCTTCTCCTGTCAGTGTGCCACCTGCCAGAAGTCTCTTTTAAGGTGTTTTTGGAATTTTTTTTTTTTTTTTTTTAAGAGACAGAGTCTCACTTTGTCGCCCTCAGTAGAGCACTGTGTCATCACAGCTCATGGGAACCTCCAGCTCTTGGGCTCAGGGGATTCTCTTGCCTCAGCCTCCTGAGTAGCTGGGACTACAGGTGCCCACCACAACGCCTGGCTATTTTTTGTTGTTGTTGCAGTTTGGCTGGGGCTGGGTTTGAACCCTCCACCCTTGTTATATGAGGCTGGTGCCCTATCCACTGAGCCATAGGCGCAACCCTGGAGTTTTTTTGAGACAGAGTCTCACTCTTACCCTGGATAGAGTGCCATGGCTTCATTATAACTCACAGCAACCTCAAACTCTTGGGTTTAGGTTTCCTCTTGCCTCAATCTCCCAAGTAGCTAAGACCACAGGGACCACAGACATGTACCACCACAGCCAGCTGGTTTTTCTATTTTTAGTACAGATGGGGTCTTGGTCTTGTTCAGGCTGGTCTCAAATTCCTGAGCTCAAGTAATCCATCCTCAGCCGCCCAGAGTGCTAGGATTATAGGCATAAGCCTGGCCCAGAAGTCTGTTTAATGCTTTCTTGAGCGTTGAGGTATTTCTGCTACTTGTTTAGGGTCTGGAAGTTAAGGCAGAGCTCTCCAAAGTGCTGCAAGCTGAGTATCAACTCCACACACCATGTGTGGAGGGTGGCCTGATCTGCTTCAAATATCCTGGACCTCAGGAGCATAGGAGGTCGCCTAAGAGACTTTTGGTCACATTTGCTCAGTGATCTGGGTTCTCAGGCTAAGATGATGGTATGGCTCACCGAGCCTGGAATTGGAACCCTGTGTGATTTTATTACCACTGGGACTTAGGCATTTCTCTTCCTTGTCTGAGCCCTCCGTGCTAGACGGGTCCAGCCACCTCCCTCCTAGGAGCCCGGTGGGGGACACAGTGTGTACTGAGCCTCAGCAGTGGGGATGGCACCAGGTCATTAGTTACAGTCAGATGGCAAGTGTAGCAGGCCATAACAAATGTTTGATGAAAATATTAGGAAAGGCTTTGTACTGACAAGCTCCTGTTTCCTGTTTTGTAGGAAACTATAGTTTTGGTATGGCAAGGAGAAGTTCCACATTAAATGAGTAATTTAGCTAACTTAGTTTTTGAGGAATGTTTCATACTTAGAACAAAAGTGATTTTTTCTTTTATTCCAGTGATTTTTTAAATGAGTATGAAAAAGGAAGGACTCCTAATCCCGACATAGTCTGCAATAAGCATATCAAATTCAGTTGCTTTTTTCGTTATGCTGTGGATAATCTTGGTAAGTAATTTGGGGTTTTTTCATTTGTTTTTAAAAATCATGGATTTTCAAATTTGTAGAGATAGCCAGAAACCAAAACCTTATAGTTTCATCTTTCAGAAGGAAAGGAGGCAGCAAAAATGATAATATTTTGTGTTTCACTGAATGAGGAAGAACCTTCTGGTGAAGTGCAAGTGCTAGATCCTTGGGAGGAGAGGGCGCTTCATTGTGGGCCACGTAAATGAGAGGACAGGCACAGGTGATCGCAGGACAGTCAGCTTCAAAACTCTCTAGGAAAGATGTGTTGGCTCACAAGCCCCAAAGAGTTGAAGGGTGACAGTGCCCCAGGAGGAAGACGAGATTCTGAAAAAAATATTCCAATATTAAATTGTTAATGACTTTAATGACATGTGTAGATGAGCTTATAAATATACCAGGAAGGTCAAAACTTTGGGAAGATGCCCAAGATAACAAAGTTTTTTTTTTTTTTGCAGTTTTGGGCTGGGCTTGACCCCACCACCTCCGGTATATGGGGCTGGCACTCTACTCCCTGAGCCATAGGTGTCGTTCCCAATAACAAAGCTTTTTAAGGCCTGATCAGAGCCAAAAGAGGCTGGGATGGAATAGGCTGATGCCAGGCCCAGAGCTCACCAAGCCTGTGGTTTCTGCATGGCCTGCACCACCCCAGCAAGGGGAGCACTCCTTAAACCAGAGCCAAAGCCAGGCAAAGAGATTGTCGCAGCCCCTGAGAAGACGATGATAGTTAGGACTACAGGATGAGGGCTAGCCTCTTTGATGAATTTGTCTCTAGGTTCAAGCTACAGGCACCATGTGTAATCTGTATCAGTCTTGCCTGGTTCCCTGTCGCAGGCGCACCCTGCCTCTCTGCCTGTAGGGTCATCTCTGCTCGTAGCAGCACTGGTTGCAGATGTGATTGTGTTTAGGGCACATTTCAGGAGCCCTAGTTTAAGGTTTAGGAAACTCAGTGTTACTCATCCTTTTTGCTAGTCAGAATCAGCCCTTCTCTCTTGCCTCTGCCTTGTCCTGAGAGTAAGCCTGTGGTCTTCACACCATTCTAGACTCGGCGTCTCTATCTTGTTTTTCTCAGTTTGAAGCTGTGTCACTGGCCTGCCCTAGAAGCCTTTCTTATGGTCAGGGCTCTGGTACCAGCTGGCACCTAATTTGCAGATTTTGTCTGTTCTAATTTTTTCTTTTTCGATTCCCTCTGCATTTTGAGATGTCCCAATTTCTTTTTAAATTTAATTTTAATTTTTTTTTTTAGAGATGAGGTTTTGCTATGTTGCCCAGGCTGGAGTGCAGTGGCTATTTGTAGGCATGATCCTAATGTATTACGCCTTGAACTCCTGGGCTCACACCATCCTCCTACCTCAGGACTATAGGTGCGCACAGCCACCCCCAACCTCGTATCTTTTTATTGAACCTTCCTAATTCTGAATTGCTTGCTTAGTGATCTATTATGGAATTAGAGTAAAAAGGAATCTTCTTGGTTAGACTACATCCCAGCATCTGTCATTACACTTTGTGAACTCTGGGTTCTTTGTCCTGTCCCCTGTGGTGGGTCAGTGTGATGATTTTTCTGGCCTGTCAGTTTGCTCTGTCCCACTGCTGCGTATGGCCATGTCCCAAGACGTATGTCATTGACTGCTGGGACAGTTGTGTCTGCACTTTCAGCAGTAACTTAGATTAGGCTGCAGTGTGATGTATGCGTAATTAAAGCTGAGCTGATGAAAATGAAAAGTTGGTTCATGGAGTTAAGAGTAAAAAATGTCTTTAAAAACAAAAGTCAAAAATGTCTCAAATTGGAATGCTTTGCTAACACCATAAACCTGAGGTATAATAGAGATAAATGCCAAGTTTGCAAACTAGGGTCAGGAATTAATTCTCCTAGTGTAGGATGGGGAAGACCTAACTTGTTTGCCTTTGTGTACAGAAGATATGGGGACTTAGTTGCCCTCAAGCTGACTGAGCCAGTTCTCTGATGTCAGAGTTGTCAAAGCTGGTACAGATGAAGCCACTCTGGTCAGAGAATGTTTTAGAAAGGGCAGCCAGGTCTTACTGAGGTCTGCCTGGTTAGGTGAAGGCTGTTATTCAGGAAAAGAGTTACAGACCCATGGAATGTGAATTGATTTGATTTCCAGGGTGTCTGGAAATATGTCTTCTGACGAACCTTTGAGATTACGTTGAGTCATGGGAGCAGCTGTCACATGTGTGAGTTCTGATTACAGTCTTTGTGTGACTCCAGAGGACAAGGTTAGGTTTGCAGGAGGAAGACCTCCTGCCTCCAAGAGGAGGCACAAGCAGCTATTCAGAAGAGGAAGGTTTGCCTTTGGAGAGTGCCGACTCTCTGCCACCATAGCTTAGGGAGGCCCTAGCTGGCCATCTGTCAGGAATGTTTTGGATTTTCTGCAGTGAGTGCTTCCAAGTCTGAATTAATCGCATGAACCCTGCAACACGGAATAAAAAGGCATGGACCCTAGACTTCTGAAATCTCAGGGCTTCTGGTAGATAGACCTATACTGTTTATAGTATACGTGGTGACTCCTTAAGGAAGTAGATTTAAAGCAGGTTTTTTTCTGTTAGAGACTTAGACATGATGTGATAATGTGTTCCTAAAGGTACTTTTCCAGGTAGTTAACATGCAGCAATTAATTCTCGCTGTTTTTTTTTTTTTTATTAAATGATAACTATGTATAGTAATGCAATTCTGGGGTACAGTGTGGTGTTTTCATATACAATTTGTAATATTTTCATCAAATTGGTTAACGTAGCCTTCATGTCATTTTCTTAGTTATTGTGTTAAGACGTTCATATTTTACTCTTAGAAAGATTCACTTGTACCCTTGCTGTGTTTTTGTTTTACACTGGGCTAGTGTGGTTGGTTAAGTGTTGACTCAGTTTTGCTGCCCCTTCAGGATAAGTCTTGCGGTGCTGCCACTCTGAAATGCTCCCATGGTGGAAGGTTACGACTGTGACCTTGGGAGGTTCTTCTGACTTTTTTTGAATAATGTGATAAGAAGGCGGCAGATGTGCAGATAGTCCTTTACTGTGATGAAAATAATATTTACTTATTAAAGAAAACTTAAAAATACAGAATAGTGTACAGAAAATGTTGTCTATAATTTCATTCCCAGCCTCAAAGGAATGGGCCCATGAGATCTCTCTGTCTTCTCTGTACGTTGAAAGTGGTGGAATCACAGTATTGTGTATTTCTCCCCTACTTAATGGTGTCCTGGGCATTTTCCCACATCATTAAACTCTGAAATGGGCTTTTTGTTTTTAAATGTTTGTGTGCATAGCTGATTATTTCCTTAAGCTATACTGAGTAAGTGGGTAGATGCTAACTTTTGAAAGGTAGGTAAGGTGTGTAAAGGTACGATAGCAGGATTGTCAGGGCAGCACCTGTGGCTCAAAGGAGTAGGGTGCTGGCCCTGTATGCCGGAGGTGGCGGGTTCAAACCCAGCCCCAGCCAAAAAAAAGAAAAAAATTTGTATCAGCTTAAGTTAAAAGGTAAAGCAGCACTTTAACAAGGTCAGATGTGTCCCCTGTTCCCGGCAGAGGCTGTCCGTGTGTGGCTTCAGGTCTGCACGCTCCTTCCCACACCCTCTAGCTCGTGCTGACAAGACCAGCAAACGAGAGTCTAAAATATGATCCTTGTGCTTTTAAAAACCTCCCAGGAGCAGATGCCATTGCCACAGGTCACTATGCAAGAACCTCGCTGGAAGATGAAGAGGTCTTTCAGCAGAAGCACATTAAGAGGCCAGAAGGGCTTTTCAGAAATCGGTTTGAAGTCAGACATGGTAAGTTAAGGTGCCCACATTGAGTTGTGAACAAATTAAAATAGTTTGAAGAATGACAGTGGGTTGTGTCTGAGCACACCTGCCGTCCTCTGTGTGCCCCAATAGCTGTTGGTTTGGAGGTCACATTTGAAAAGGCGTAGTAGCAAGTGGGTCCTTTCCCCAGAGGACTTGCCATTGAGCAGTAAAAGATATTGCCTGGTACCCCCAATGCTGTGGAAAATTAAGTCAGAAGTGTATAATCCAGTTCTAGACACTATGTGTTGGTGACTTGCATGTTCCAAAAATATCTGAGGAAATGCTTGGTGGTAAGTGGGTGCCATGAGTTCACCAAGGCCTTGTGCTTTGGCATCAAGTTCTCCAGGGCGTGAGGTTTTGGTAGACTTCAGCGTGACAGACAGGAGCCTGGTGGTCACGAGATGATCTGCACACATTAGTTTGTAGGTGTGAGAGAGGACGGGTCACCTTTCTAGAAGAAAGTGAATGCCAAGCAGGGAGCTGGGAAGCTGCAGCTTGTCCTGCTGTGTGGATGAGCAAAGCAGAATTCCCATCGTTGTCAGAGCTTAGAGCCGTGTTTCTATGGGAGTTGCTGTTGGCTCTCTGAGGGTTGTTACTTCTGATCTGTACAGTGTTTCTCCCTGTCTGTCCTGCCAGCAGCTGCTTCCCCATCACTTGGGTGTTGCTGAATTTAGATTTTGGACCCTTGTTCCCGCCACACTCCCATATGAGGCAGGGCCTTGCATGCACACTTTCACCTTGCTCCTCTTAGCAGTCTCAGGAGATGTGTGCTTTCATCCCATTTCAAAGGTGAGGAAACCAAGGCTGCGTGAAATCATATGATGTAGGTACCTCAGGTAGCAGAGACTGGATTCCAGACAAGTCCTGCCTGGCTCCCTCACCCCTGCTGTGTCTGCTATGTCAGGCCAACCAAGGCTGTATGAAATCATTTGATGTAGGTACCACGGGTAGCAGAGACTGGATTTCAGATGAGTCCTCCCTGTCTCCCTCAAACCTGCTGTGTCTGCTGTGTCAGGCCCAGCTGAGTTCTTTTCTCAGCATTACTGAGCCCATCTTGGAGGCAGCAGTGGTCCCATGGCAGTGTGTTCCTTCAGGGGGCCTTGAGTGCACCCACACTCCCCTCCTTCCCAGCTCACGCAGAGGGTGCTCAGTAACTTCATTGATGCCAACTCGGACAAGAACACTCTCCCTTGTAGCAGGGACGTCTCCTGCTGCTGCCTGCAGGGTGCTAGGCACATTCCCCTGGGATACCCTTCAGTTTCAGGAAGACACAGCTCTGGATGCAAAGCCCTGGCCTTGGTGGTCAGCTTCCAAGTTGCTGCCCCTAGGCTAGCCATGACCAGGCAGATTCACTCTGCATACAGTAAGTTACCATCAGCCTGGCCGAGCCACCACAGGCCCAAAGCAGCCAGGGTGTGTCAGGAACACTGAGGCACAGATGTGAGCCCTCCCCTTCCCTTCCTGCTGCGTGGCTCAGTTAGAGATGCCAACTCTTTTCTCTTCAGATGAATAGACTTTTAGTTTGTTTTGATACAACTCAGAACTAGGAGAAAATGCAGATTGCTCCTAGTAGTCTGTCTTAGGGTTTATACACACATATACTGTTTGCTTCTAGATTTTGAAACAAAAAGTGGAATTTGGGAAAAGAGCCTGCTGACGTGATAACCAGTCAACGTAACTATAGCATCATTTTCAGCAGCTCTCACTGTTGGGTACACAGAAAGTACTGACACAGAAAGCAAGAGACTGGGCTCAGTTTCCAGCTCCGCCATGCTCCACCTGTGTCATTTTGGTCAAGTCACTTTAATTATCCAAGCTTGAGATTCCTCATCTGTAAAATGGGGATAATTCTACTTTACTTGGCTAGCGTGAGAGCCAGCAAATGGAAAACTTTAGTCACATGAGACTGTGCCGAGCCAGGAAGGTGCGCGTGCTGTCCAAGCTGTGAGCGTGCTCCGAGTGTGACTGAGCACTAGGCACATGAGTGGTACTGACCTTCTGCCTAGTTTGCTTCCATTGGTTACTGAACTTAAAAGTGAGGAACCTGGCAGTTCTAACCATGGAAAGTCTGTCGTGTGCCCAAGAGGACTGGTCGGGCCCAGAGGTAGAGCTGGGCCTTCTTTTCATTACCAGGGTCATATGGGCAGGTCACTCACACTTCTGCACCATTGCCTTAAAGTCAAAAATGGTTCTTTATAATCAAATAGCAAATGTTGGGGAAACCACAGTGGAGCGTCTGATAAATGTCAACTTGGACTCTAGACGAAAACCATTTCTACTGAGGAGAAAAAGCATTTCTTTTTTTCTTTTTTTTTTTTTTTTTGAGACAAAACCTCAAGCTATCCCCCTGGGTAGAGTGCCGTGGCATCACAGCTCACAGCAACCTCCAACTCCTGGGCTCAAGCAAGTCTCCTGCCTCTGCTTCCCATGTAGCTGGGACCACAGGCGCCCGCCACAACGCCCGGCTATTTTTTGATTGCAGCTGTCATTGTTTGGTGGGCCCAGGCTGGATCCGAACCCGTCACCTTAGGTGTATGTGGTTGGCGCCTTAGCCACTTGAGCCATAGGCGCGGAGCCGAGAAAAAGCATTTCTAAAAGACAGTCTGCTGAAGGACTTTATTTACCCTATAGTTGAACCTGGGAAAATTAATGGAGTCCATGAAAACCCCCATGGCACAAGTACCTGTTATCGCTAGAAAAAAGCACAGCCGATTCCATTTCAGTGGAATTGTCTGTAAGTTGCTGTCTTAACCAATTTCGCCGTATTTGGCTGAGTTTACTTCAGGCTTATTTTGTCTTTTCACTTCAGAACGTTTTTTCATGTGATGGTCCGTCTTTGAAATACTATCTAAAGTATGATTTGGAATAAATTTTTATTATCCTATAAGGTCTACCCTCCCTGTATTGTTTATAGCAGATAAATTAGAGGTGTGAATTGTTGTTCGCGATAGTGATTCCACAACATGGAATCAGTTGAAGTATCTTTTTTTTTTTTTTTTTTTTGGAGACAGAGCCTCAAGCTGTCACCTGGAGTAGAGTGATGTGACATCATAGCTCACAGCGACCTCCAGCTCTTGGGCTTAAGTGATTCTCTTGCCTCAGCCTCCCAAGTAGCTGTAACTATAGGCGCCCTCCACAATGCCCAGCTATTTTTTGGTTGTAGCTGTCGTCGTTGTTTAGGGGGCCATGGCTGGATTCAAACCCACCAGCTCTGGTGTATGTGGCTAGCACCTTAGCTGCTTGAGCTATAGGAGCCTCAATTGAAGTATCTTATCAGTGGATGAATGGATAAAGAAATTGTGGTACATGTACACATGGAATATTATACAGCCATAAAGAGAATGACATCCTGACCTTTGAAACAACAGGCACAGAAAGACAAATCCCACATGTTGTGACTCATTGTGGGAGCTGAATATTAGCACAGTTGGTCTCATGGGGACAGAGTAGAGTGATGGTTACGAGGCTGGGCAGGTGATGGGTAAAGCAGGGTGGACACAAAGCTATAGTCAGAATAAACAATGTTTGATAGCACAACAAAGCGACTATAATTAGTGATAAGTTTAGGGTATACTTATAAAACAAGTAAGAGAATGGAATTGGAATGGTCCCAACACAAAGGATAAATGCCTGAGATGATGGGCACGCCAGCTACCCTGATTTGATTAATGTACTTGTATGCCTGTATCAAAACATCATTGTACCCTATAAATGTATGCAATTATTATTATTAATATATACCCATAATAACAGTAAATTGGCTCGGCACCTATAACTCAGTGAGTAGGGTGCCAGCCACATGCACCCAGCTGGCAGGTTCGAGCCTGGCCAGGCCTCTAAACAGCAATGCCAACTGCAACCAAAAAAGTAGCTGGGCATTGTGGTGGGCCCCTGTAGTCCCAGCTACTTAGGAGGCTGAGGCAAGAGAATCGCTTAAGCCCAAGAGTTAGAGGTTGCTGTGAGCTGGACACCATGGCACTCTACCGAGGACAACATAGTGAGACTATGTCTCAAAAAAAAAAATTAATAGTAAAAATGTAAATAAATCAGAGGTGAGACTCTTTCTCACATTAATAACTCTGGTGTGGTTTTTCCTTATTCTCTGCTATTGAGTGTTGGGTTTTGCTTCTGACGGACGTGGGTGATCTGAGTAAACACAGGACATTAACTGTGAAGTGTCATTATTTTTATTCCTGCAATGTCTTTTGTTCTTTATTCTTGGCAGCGGTAAAACTTCTCCAAGCAGCTGACAGCTTTAAAGACCAGACCTTCTTTCTCAGCCAGGTTTCCCAGGATGCCCTGAGAAGAACCATCTTCCCTCTGGGGGGATTAACGAAAGATTTTGTAAAGAAAATAGCTGCTGAAAATAGACTTCATCATGTGCTTCAGAAAAAGGAGGTATGAGTGCATGTCTGCATCCCTGGCTCCAGGGTCAGGGGAGGGGGCTGGGGTCCCTGTGCTCAGGCACCACTTCCCTCCTGGGACCTAAGCTCAGGGAGACTCAGAGCACACAGTCAAAGGCTCCGCTGACACTGGGAAGTGGCTTCCTCTCCTTTGCTTGGTTGTCCCTGGCTGGCAGCTTTCCCTGCAGCCATGGCATCTGGCTGGGTGCTCCCGCGGCAGCCTGCTGGGTGAGCACAGGGCAGCATGGCACAGCTCCAAGGCCCCAGGGCAGGCGCTCCGCTGCCGTCTGCCCACCAGTCCCACCTTTCATCTGAGCTGGCTCAGTTCAGACTTGTTCAGTGCTGTCTGCACCAGGGACTATACTGCTGGGTCCCGAGGAGTTGGTGACAAACACACAATTTCTTCCCTGCCTTCCCAGGGCTCGCAGTTGAGGAGAGACAGACAGGAAAAACCACCATAAACAGAAAGTATCTGGGGGGTAGGCAGACACCCGTGAGGGAAGCACCAGTGGAGTCTAACTGAGGTCCTTGGGATAGAGACCGCAAGAAAGGGCTCTGGAGAAACTACATTTAACGGCTCAGCGCCTGTGGCTCAAGCGGCTAAGGCACCAGCCACATACACCTAAGGTGGCGGGTTCGAATCCAGCCCAGACCCGCCAAACAACAATAATGGCTGCAACCAAAAAATAGCCTGGCGTTGTGGCGGGCGCCTGTGATCCCAGGTACTTGGGAGGCTGAGGCAGGAGACTCGCTTGAGCCCAGGAGTTGGAGGTTGCTGTGAGCAGTGATGCCACGTCACTCTACCCAGGGCGACAGCTTGAGGCTCTGTCTCAAAAAAAAAAAGAAAAAAGAAATTACATTTAACCTGAGACCTAAAAGGTGAGTAGGATTCAGTGTCCTCTGAGGGTTGGGAGGGACGGTCTAGCAGAAGGGTGTGTGCACAGGCACCGAGGCAAGGGGAAGCCTCAAAACAGGTGTGATGGCGCTCGCCTGGCCTGGCCTGGCTAGCGGGAGGCTGAGATGAGAGGATCACTTGAGCCCCGGAGTTTGAGTCTAGCCTGAGCAACATAACGACACCCTGTCTCAAGAAAAAGAACAGAAAGAAAAAGCCCATAGCATTGGCTCGGCCTGGCATCAGAGGGTGGGTGCTGGGGGAGCCTCTTGTGCTTGGCAGACCTCTGTGGGTGCAGGTAAATCGAGCCGGCTCAGGGCCGACACGGCTCTAACACGGCTGCTCCTGCATGTCTGTCTTCCTGGGTGGGGGCACAGCCGCATCTCATCATCAAGCTATTGTCCCCAAAGAGCACATCCACCCTCATCCTCTGCCTGCCTCTCCTTTGTCCCTCAGTCTCCTGGTGTTGGTCGATAGTAGGAGCTGAGGGAGCTGCAGAGACCATGGAGTTACAGGGCAGGCCTAGAAGGACGCAGACTGGAGAGTAAGCCATGAGGCCACTTGGCAGTCCAGCAGTGGGGAGGGCTCATCCTGCCCGTTGTACGCTGGGAAGGAAGAGTGTGCTCTTCCCGGGCTTCTCTGCTTCCTCCTCCTGCGTTGGTCCCTGTTCCTCCCCTGACACTCACAGGGCAGCGGCCTGAAGGTCTTGACCAGGTTTCATGATACTTTGCCACACAAGGGTTGGACCCACCAGGATGAGCCCCTGAAGTTCTGTTTGTGGGCTGTGACTGGCATCCAGGGGTACAGGGGAGGACAGCAGGCCCCTCGGGATGTCCAGGTCACGCAGCCTGACCTGTCCTGGTGCAGGACACCACATGCTTTCGCTCACCTCCCACATGCCTTCCTCTCGTTTCAGAGCATGGGCATCTGTTTTGTTGGTAAAAGAAAGTTTGAACGTTTCATTCTTCAGGTGAGTGTGCCTTGATGGTGGGGTGGGCTCCCAGCGCTGTGCCCGGCCTCTGGAGTTATGCTGTGCTTGTTTTCCAGTATTTACCTCCTCGCCCTGGCAAGTTCATTTCTATAGAAGACAATACCGTCCTGGGAACGCATAAAGGTAACTTGCCGCCTCTCGCCACTTTTCATCTCAAGTTTCTTAGATCGTGGGGTGAGTGTCCGCCCTGGGAAGTTTAGAAGGATGCCTGTGGTCCCTTCCTCTTAGCCAGGATGGGAAGATGATTTTCTCACTGTGTAAAGAAATGTTAAACTACAAAAAACTGCACTCTGCCAGAAGGGCAGGCGGATGTCATGGCATGGTCTGAATGGCTAGGTGCTATGTGAAGCAATCCTGGGGGCTGCTCACTCCTGACGTTACTGTGGTGGGGCCACCACAAGCCTGTGCTGTGCTGGTGTGGGGAGGGCAGGAGCAATCATAAGTGCTCACAGTCCCAAGGTGGGGACAGTGTGGCTGTCGTGAGATGCAGTGATACAGGTGTATCTGGGCTCATGACCAGGCGAGTCTCGAGCCTGCATCAGCCTGGGCTGTGGGCCAGGGCACAGGGTCACTGTTCAGACAGGAATGCCCTTGGACATCTCTACCTCCTGCAGTGATTGTGGGCCTCCTGAGGGAGAGCCCAAGGGGTGGGAGAGCTGAGCTGGGCCAGACCTTCTTGAGCCTGGAGTAGGTGACAGCAATGCTCGGGACAGAATTCTGTCTCCATCCAGAGGCAGTTAGGGGGCTCGGCTTCTGCCTGCAGTTCAGTGTCTGGCCTCACTGAAGCAGGCATCACTCCCCAGAGTGTGGTAAAGCCGGTCGGGTTACCTCTTTCTGTGCACCTGCCATCCAGAGGAGGGTGGGCGGTGGGGAGCCTGCTGCCTGATCTCGTGAGTGGGACTGATAGAGTATGGCCAGGGGCAACTTGGGCACAGAGAGCTTGAGACAGCCCTGATGCAGTTGACATTTGATGGGTGGGACTCTGCTTGGTCAGGGCTGTCTCTGATGGGGCACAGCTTCTGAGTGGCCATGCCGGCTGCAGGCCTATTATGCACCACCCTTGGTGGTTCTCAGAGCCTCCCCTGCTATCCTGGCCTCGTGCCATCTCGAGAGGTATGAGGTTCAGGTGGAGCCCGCGCCTGAGCCTCATAGGGAACCTTCCTGCACAGGTTGGTTCCTGTATACGCTGGGCCAGAAGGCTAAGATCAGCGGCTTGAATGAGCCCTGGTACGTGGTGGAGAAGGATGGTGCCAAGGGTGACGTGTTCGTGGTAAGTCTGGTGGGTCCCTGAGACAGTGCTGGTCAGGCTTTGGCGCACCCGCTATTTATAGGTCTGGGGCTTGGGAGGCTTCGAGAGTGGCTGATGCTTAATGGTGTGTTCTTGCCTTCCCACCACAGCCTCCTGAGATGGGCCCCAGGCAGCAGAAGGGTTTTGTTTAAGCTATTTATTAGATGCCACTGTATGCTGACCGCTCTGTAAACTACCAGTTACTCTCTGTAGATGAACACTGCTTCTCTGAATTTACTGAAGAGGACAGTAAAACTCAAATAAAGGGACTTGCTGAAGGTCCTGTGGAGAGGACGCCCCCTAGACAGTGCCTGCCTATGTGGGACCCAGTGTCATTGTTGGGTAGATGCAAGTGGGTAGATCCAAGATCACACTAGGCCAGGCTTCTCAGACCCAGGGATATTTCATTGTGGCTGTCACAGCTTGAGGTGTGCCCTTAGTAGCACTGAGGTTGACAAGCCCTGCTGTCAGCAAGCCAACTTGCCATCTTGTGCTGGAAATGTCACAGATGCTGGGGACATTCTCTTAGGTGCAGGCACAGAGGCTAGCAGGCCTCACCTGCCCATTCAGAGACATCGTCCAGTCAAAGCTAAGGGCCTGGTCAGGGATGAATTAAGGTAATTTTAGCATAACATTTCAGGGTTGTTTGTTGTGAGAAAATGGAGGGTTGTCGACTGACCCTTGTCCCCAGACAGGCCTCAGGGCCTCAGAGGGTAAGGCCTGGCCTGATCCCAGGGGTACCACGTTGCCATGGTGCAGAGGCCATGGTGGGCAGCAGTGGAAGCGGGGGGCGGGGGGGGCGGGAGGCGGCTGCAGGAAGCCAGGACCACCAGTCCCTTCTTCCCTGTGCTGTTTGGTGCTTGCTATGATTCCTGGAATGGCCTTCTTCATAGATAAGCCAGTGGCATGGCTGGCCTTGTGTCCCTAGGAATAAAAAACTGGGTCCTCCAGGGCAGTGGTGGCCCCTAGGTGGCTGTGGGTGAGGCCAGAATTTGAACTTAGAACTTTGAGGAGTGTTCACAGTTGCAGGCTCAGGGTTCACTTCTGCTGCTTGACAGCTGTGACCATGACAAATAATTTTCCCTCCTGGCCCTTGGTTTCTTACTCTGCAAAATGGGGTAATGAGTCTCAGGAGGAATTTCCTCGGGTAAAAAGTGCCATCAACGTTGCTCCTAATGGCTTGCACCGAGGCAGACCACAGAGCGAGGGCCCTACTAGGGCTCCAGGGCGTCGCGACCTTTGCATTCTGCCCCTCAGGCTCCCCGGACAGACCACCCGGCCCTATACAGGGACTTGCTTCGCACCAGCCGTGTGCATTGGATCGCAGAGGAGCCGCCTGCCCAGCTGGTGAGGGACAAGATGATGGAGTGCCAGTTCCGATTCCGCCACCAGATGGCACTAGGTAACCGGCAGGAGGGACCTGGGGCCAGTGGGGGCTGGGAGGTGTGGCCCAGCAGGAGTGCCCCCCAACGAGTGAGAGCACAGAAAGTACCCAGAACCCTCTTGCCCTGTGCCTGCCAGGGAGTGGCGGGGGCTATCTCACAGTGTCCTACCATGTCCCAGGACCCTACCACATCTTGGGCCAGACTGGTGGCTCTGAGCTGCTCTGGTTGTTGTCCCACCCTTCCCCTCAGAGGGGTGTCCTTGTCTCTCATGGGTGGGTGCTCCTTCCCTGGGAGCCCAAGGCCTGGGGCTGACAGATGAGGCAAGGCTGTGCCCCCTGCAAAGGTCCCTCTCTTCCACCCAGTGCCCTGTGTGCTGACCCTCAATCAGGACGGCACCGTGTGGGTGACAGCTGTGAAGGCTGTGCGGGCGCTCGCCCTGGGACAGGTGAGTGGGAATGTGGGGCGAACCATGTTCCAGGGCTGAGGCGGGGACAGCCAGTCAAAAGGCAGGACAGGCCTCTGCCATGGCCTTGCTGTCTGCCAGAGTGAGAGCCTGGAGTCCAGTGCTCACCTGTGAAGTGGCTCTTGGGATCACTGTGCCTTGTGCCCTGGGAGATGTCACAGGGCATCTGGTTTGCAGATAGGGTGTCTAGCCCTGCACCTGGGGCTCCTTGTCTCCCAAGGACAGGAGGGGAAGGGCTTGAGGTTTGTGCCCCTGGAAGCAGAGGGACGGGAGTGCTGCCGGTCAGGATGTGCAGGAACCCTGAGGATGTGGGCTCTAGGGCGGAAAGGGGTGTCAGGGAAGCCAAAGCTCCCTTTGGCTCCCACCCCTTCCCTCCAGTCACAGTTGCCAGTTTGGAGAGGCTTGTGACTGTGCACTCAGGCAGCAGACCCAGACCCTGAACTCCCCTCTGACGCAGGAGCTCAGCCCAGGTGCTCTGAGCACCTCCCCCTCTGCCTCAGCCACAAACCGCAGCACCAGCTCAGCGCCTGACTCCTGGGGGCACCCCTGATGCAGGACCTCTCTCCTCTCCAGTTTGCCGTGTTCTACCGAGGGGATGAGTGCCTGGGCAGCGGGAAGATCCTGCGGTTGGGACCGTCTGCCTACACGCTCCAGAAGGGCCAGAGCAAAGCCAGAGTGGCCACCAAGGGCCCAGGCGATGACCCAGACCTGTGTCCCTCTCCCTGAAGGAGGCTGAGCTGCTGGGAGGAGTTCCGGGAGAACAGAGCTGAGGGCGGCGGCCAGTGGGCAGTCCAGGTGATCGAAGGCCTTGCTTGCTGCTGTTGAGCCAGGAAAGGCCTGGCTGGATCTCCCATCCCAGGCCAGGCTGGTCAAGAGCTGTGAGAGCCCCAGGGAGGGCCCGTCTTCTCCAGGTTGGAGCTCTGGCCACAAGCATTTGTTGGCTGGTGGGCCTGAGGGTCCTATTTATAGAGTGCTTCTGCACTGCCCTGGAAGCATTTCCCACCAAGGGGACCTTCAAGGGGCCGTGCAGGCTACAGGGATAAGATAGTGCTGAATAAAAAGTCTGTGGGGGACATGGAGTCTAAATACTGCCCATAGTGGGGCCCAGGAGAGCCCAGCTAGGCTGAGTTGGGAGCTCCATGCCACTGACCTTTCTGCAGTGTGGACAGGCAGGGGGCCCACAGCACCTATCATTCACTGGACCAGGGTCCCCAGTGCTCTGCCTGAGGGCTGGGGCCTCCAGGACATTGACCTCAGAGTATCTGCACTGGGCAACGTGGACCCATGTTCTTGGCTCCCTTTCTGTGGGCACTTTGGGTTTTGGGGGGGGGTTGCCATTTTTTTTTTGGCCGGAGCCGGGTTTGAACCCACCACCTCCGGCATATGGAGCCGGTGCCCTACTCCTTTGAGCTATAGGCACTGCCCAGGCACTTTGGTTTTTTAATTTTATTTATTTTTTTGATATAGTCTCACTATGTCACTTTTGGTAGAGTGTCGTGGTGTCACAGATCATAGCAACCTCAAACTCTTGGGCTTAAGCGATTCTCCTCCCATATAGCTGGGACTATAGGTGCCCACCACAACACCCAGCTATTTTTTGTTGCAGTTGTCATTATTTAGCTGGCCCAGGCCGATTTTGAACTCACCGGCCTTGGTGTATGTGGCTGGTGCCATAACCACTGTGCTATGGGTGCCGAGCCGATTCTCTGGGCACTTTGTTGATGCTTTAAGACAGGTGCCTGTGGGGACTAGAAGGTTCCAGGCCAGAGGCAACATGTTCAGCCCACACTGAGCACCAGCTGGTCAGGGAGTCAGACATGGCTCTGCCCTAATGTTGAGTGGATAAGGGGAGGCCTGCTGGGCAGAGTCTGCAGAAATTTTGAGGACGTCTCTTCCCTGTTGGGGGTCCTCACCCTTGGCTCAGAAGCCACTGGGACTGAGGGTCAGAGCTTTTGGTGGTGGCAGGGTAACAGCCCTCCCTGGGACAGGTCAGTCAGGGCTCCACAGCTGCTGCCCATCCCCTGGCAGTCAAACACCTGCCTTGTGGGGTGAGCGTGCTCATATGCAGAGCTGGGGCTGCCGGCCCATGGGGACGTGCACATTCGTATACACGCACCCTGGACCTGTGGCAGGAGTGTCCTTCCTCCTCAACAAGGGCTTGGGGCAAAGGAGTGATGTTGCCCAAAGGATAATCTCAGAGGCAGTCCCTCTCTGAAGCACAGATTGGAAGGGACTGGGTTGAACAGGTAGCCACAGAGGTTTGGGCAAGGGTGGCAGCAGGGTCGGGGGTGGATCTAGGAAGGACAGACAAAAAGCAGAGGTCTGGGGAGGAGCTGGTGACAAGGATGGTTGTCCTCAGCCCTGGAGCCGAGATGGCCAGGAAAGCTGGGCATCAGCCAGGGGTCTTGCCCACACACCCTGGTACATCAGGATGGGAGCGGCCACTGAGTCCAGCATTTGTCCTGCTTGCTACCCAGGGTGGGATTGGAGGGACAAGGAGGCCAAGGGCCCATCTGACCAGGAGTGGACCACACTCAGAGACTTCTGGGTCTGGTGTGGAGAGGCTTGGAGACCCAAGTCAGTTGGGAAGAAGGTGGCACAGCGGGGGAGTGGGGCAGGAGGCTGTGGCCTGGGAGTTGCAGAACTGGAGAGACCCCCTGTGTGGACTGTGTGGAACTAGCATGTGAACACCCAGGCTGCAGTGGCACTGGGGAGAATTGTAATTGTAACCACCATCTTATTGCGTCGGTAAACCCGTGGGAGAGGCAGATGTGGAAGGAGAGATGGGGATTATTGCACCCCACTCTACCCCTACCTGCAGCCCCCAAAGCCATACTCAGGGTGGGGGCTCAGCCAGGACAGCACAGTGAGAGAGCAGTGGCTTCCTGCCTGCAGAGCGAAACGTGAGGATGGTCTCAGATACCAGAGCAGGGGCTGCCCTGTCCTCCCTCTGGGCAGGAAGGAGTAATAACTCGTCCTCTGCCATTGGTTACTGAAGAGACCCTGCTTAACATCTCCCCATCCCAGGGGTCAACCCCAGCCCCCACCTGCCCTCTTCCCTACCCCTCCCTGTCTCTTTGCTGTGTACTTTGCCTTCTGCCAAGGCCCTGTCCAGTGGGGAGTGTCCCGGGAGCATAGCAGCCCTCACTGGGTGGGACCAGGAGGAGCCAGGAAAGGCCTGGAGGCAGGCCCAGTTCCACCTTGCAGACAAGTCCTAGCTGGTGGGGACCGTAAGTCCTGCTGAGCATGGTGGCTAGGCTGAAAGGCATCTTTGCTCTGACAGCTCAAAGCTCAGCACAGACTCCTGGGCTCCTTTCCCCGACACACTGTGCTGGGAACTAAGGTCCCATTGTGCTGTCCCAGGCTGACCCACCCAGGTCACAGAAATACGAGGATGGAGGAGGGGCAGCTGGGCAGAAGTCAGTGTGGACCTCAGGCCAGCCATAGGTGAGGCTGCCCTGTGTGTGTAGCCCCCGCTGGCTCTACCGTCCCAACAGACTCAGGGCCTATCTTCAGCCAGTGGAGGAAGAGAAGGGGGAGCACATAGCCTCTGCTCCTCCAGTCCCCAGCACACACCCACAGCACTGTCCCAACCAGCAAGTCTCCCCTCTGCCGTGCATACAGCTACCAGCCATGTCCTTTCGAGGCTACCAGCCAACTATGGAGAGCTCTGAGCAATACTGCAGAAATTTAGCGGAAGCTGTCAGCCAGGGGGGTGCCATTGTGCCAAGTCTAAGCACTTGGGTGGGGGCCATCAGATTCCACAGGCTGTAGCCTTTGGATACCTTCATAAGACGTGGGCAGGCCAGAGGAGCAGGGATGGGAAATAGCCTCTTTACAGGGGGATTCCCTCCACCCCTTGGGCCCAGGCCCCAGCCACCAGCCATGACTAAAATCAAGAGAGGGCAGCTGGGCTCAGTGGCTCAGGCCTATAGTCCCAGCATCTGGAGGCTGAAGCAGGAGGGCTGCTTGAGGCCAGGAGTTTGAGGAAGAGCAAGAGAGACCCTGTCTCTACAAAAATAGAAAAAAGCTGGACATGGTGGTGGTCTCCTGTAGTTACAGCTACTCAGGAGGCTAAGGCAGGAGGATCACTCATCACTTGAGCTCAGGAGTCTGAGGCTGCAGTGAGTTGAGTGGGTACCACTGTGCTCTGCATTCTCGGCCCAGGGCAGAGCTGGATGCCTGTCAGCACCTGCTTCCTGTTCGTGACATAAAGGAGCTTATGGCCCCCATGTTTCCAGAGTGATCTCCATGAGATCCTAAGATAGCACCCCTCTCCTCACAACTGGGTGGCTCCTTCCCCATGAAGCCAGTTTCAGGTGCCCTGAACTGCTGTCTGCCCACAGTTCCAGCTCCTACATTGCCTGTGCCACTGGACTCCTTCCCATGCCTGGTCACTCACTACCTCTTGAGGCTCTTAACAGGCCTGCCTCTGGGGAGGCTAAAGCTGGCACTGGAGAAGTGGCCCAGCTACTCCTGGCAGCTTGGATGCTGCTCACGCTGGTGTTTGTGCCCAGATGTGATCACAGAGGGGCGTGTTTTGCCCTTGTCTGCTCTTGGCAGTCCTCAGGAAGACACTAGGCCCAGCTGTCCTGTGGCTTTCTTAGATACTTGCTTCCTTGTTAGTCATGGCTTTGGGGTTGTGATAGGTCTATCCCATTGTGTTCACTACCAAGCATTCTGGAGGGCAAATGGGAGGTACAGGGGGGGAAGGAGGTGATATGTAAAAACTGCCTTTGACTTTAGGGGTGTTCCAGGCTTTTCTTGTTCCTCTGTCAGTTTGAACCTGGGGGTGGCCCTAATCTCTGGCGCCAGGCTTCCAGAGGGGACAGGGGAAAGGAAGGGAACACTGGGCTGAAGAGTCCTGGGGGCCCCTTTATTTTTCTCTCTGCTCTACTTTTTCTGGAGGGTGAGGGGACACAGTTGGGCAGACATGTGGGGGCAGGGCAGGTGGCTAGAACTTTGGGAGAAACCTACTTTTCTGGACAGGAACCAAGAAAAGGGGCCCTAGGAGTTAAGAGTGAGTCAGATCCCAGCAAGGGGGAGGCTGGGGAAGCAGCCCCCTAGGGCTTCCTGTATGCCAGCAGAAGCCCTCCTTGGGTGCCACAGCCGACCAAAAGGGAACCTAACTGGACTGCTGCTGAAACAAACAAAAGGACATTTAAAACAGAGGCTTTTGAGGTGGGTGGATTGCCCTGAGCTCATAGGTTTGAGGCTAGCCTGAACAAAAGTGAGTCCATCTCTAAAAATAGCCAGGCCTTGTGGCGGGTGCCTATAGCCTCAGCTGCTTGGGAGGCTGAGGTGAAAGAATTGCTTGAGCCTAAGAGTTTGAGGTTGCCGTGAGCTATGAGGCCACAGCACTCTACTGGGGGGGGGGGTGACAAAGTGAGACTGTCTCAAAAATAAATAATAAAATGGGAGCTTTAATACAGCCCAGAGAATCACAGCATCCAAAGTGCCATCTGAGGATTCAATGTGAGATTACTCAGCAGAGTTTTCTGGCACGACACTCCTGCACCCCACTGTCTGCATCCCACGTGTGGTGGGTCACTTCCCATCCATGGTCTAGTCCCCAACTGCAGTGGGGCAGGGGGAGAAAAACCTGCACAGCAGAAGTACAAATTCAAAAATCTTAATTTATTGTAGACGCTTCTCACTTGGGTGGTAATTCCAGTGTTTTAACATTAATAAATACACATTTGTTAAAAACCTCCAGTGTGTAATCTCTGTCATAAAGTCTTAAGTAGTAAAAATAGGTTTATATTTTTCCTGTCTTAGTAAACTGACGATTGTTTTTTGGTAACAGTTCTAATCAAATTAAAAACTCAAGGGGCGAAATCAGCTGTGGAACAATAAGTGATGATGTGAAAGTGAGGTGCTCAAAGGCTTGGAAATAGCAAACCCTCTTCGTACTCGGAAAACATCCAGTCAGTGGCGGACATCTGAAGAGCCCGTCATCGTGTGTCTTCAGAAGGCCACTCACCTGTTAAGGCACATGTATAATTCATTCAGCTCTAAGGACATGGGTCCCATTTCACTGCCCTTAGTGTGTCAGGAGTGCTTCTCTCCTGTGCAGCGTCTGTGGACAAGGCTCACATTTTCATCCAAGTTAAGACTGGATGGAAATCTTTCCGTTTTATTTGATTTCATCCTATTTTGTGGTTTCCCATATATTTTTTTCACATGGCAGGCCTTTTATTTTGTTTCCCATATTTGGAAGCAGCTGTGTTGATCATTTAATTGGGCACCTGATCTGAAGAACAAAGGAAACACTGGAATAAAACGTGTCTGAAGTTCCGGGCTCCACTCCACAGCCCTCCGGGTCTCGCTGCACCAGCTGCCCATAGTGGGACAGTCACAGCCAGTCCCTGGTATGAGTTTCCAAAAACAGTTTGGTAACCATCAAAAAGTATGGCTGTGGCTTTGTCCCTCTTCACAATTGGCCATTTGAAGCAAAATGAAGTAATTGGTCAGACTCTGGGGGTGGGTCCCCTGCCTGCCTGGAGATCCTTGGAGTCTCAAAGAGCAAGAAAATTGGCAGGAGGGAATGTGACATCCTGGAAGACCTCATGCCGCCATCTGAATTGGGAACGTGTGAACATGTTGAGCTCCCACCAGGAGCAAGAGCGCAGGGACAAAGGAAGTCCCCACCTGCGGTCCTGTGCTACCTGGGAAGGGCTCCAGCCAGGGCGCCAGGCCCACAGTGGGTGGAGGTGGCAGTCAGGGAATGACTGGCTGTGAAACTCCGGTTGTGTGGTGACTGCATTCCACACTGGTCTCAGCTGGACTTCACTGACCTGCCCAGTCCCACACCTCCCTATCTTGGACCCACCCCTGTCAAGGCAGGTGGGTGCTGAGGGCAAACGGATGTAGCAGTGAACACGCTGGGCGTTTGGGAGGCCTGCAGGGACACGCACTGGCCCCTTGCAGGAGCTTTTACAACTCAATTTTAACCTCACTGCTAATGTACTTTCCACCTTTGTTCTGCCTGGACACCAGTTGTGTCCATGCATGCCAGATTCAAGTACAACTGTGCAATCTTCCTTACATAAGAAACAGAGATCATGCCACAGATCTCCCAGTATCAACAAAGTCAATACTTATTGCAAAATGCAAAATATACATAGGTTTTCCCCTGCTCAGAGTCCCATACAAATATATAAAAGTATCTGCACCTTTTCAGCAGAGCAAAGTAATCTGCCTTAAGACAAGAGGTGCCTTCACAAAGGGCTGTCCAGGCTGCTGGCCATGTGCCTGTCCTACAGGGAGATGCTTGCACAGTGGCCAGACCTGTCTTTGGTCTGTGCCCAGCATCCACGAACCTGCTCACAGCCAGGCCAGCAGCACAGTTTTGGCTGTTTGCAGTCTAAGGACCACGCCGGCCAGCTGAGCAGTCCACGCCTCCCTCACACCTATGAGCTTTGGCACTTGTCACAGGGTCTGACTAGCCCTGAACCCCTGGGAGATCTGAGGGCTTTTTGTCTGGACTGTCAGTTGTGGGGTGGCCACTGTGAAGACCTCCCATACCCAGGGCCTGCTTCAGTCCATGGGCAGTGGTCCCTCGGGCTCCAAGATCCCAGGGCTTGACAACACAGCAGGCTGTATAGCAGTGATGAGCTTGCCTCACGGTTTCCTGATGGTTCAAATTGAAGTTTCGTTACTGCCTCTGCACGTGGGAAGAAGCCGTCAGGCAGGTGGAAGGTCAGTGAGGAGGGCAGCCAGGTGGGGTCCAAGGTCACACAGGGGCAGAATCCCCCCACTTAGATACCGGGGCTCCAGGGAAGGCAAGCTTAGGTTGGATGAAGCTGCCTTGTAAGGCAGGATGGCACCCAGTCCTGACACCCTCTCAGTGGCACATGGAGTATCAAGATTAGAAACCAACTCACATTTTTTTTTTTTTTGAGATCACACCCTGTCACCCCAGCTTGAGTATAGAGGTGTATCATCATAGCTTACTGCCTCTAATTCCTGTGCTCGAGGGATCCTCCTGAGTCCTGGGGTTACACGCATGAGCTACCAGGCCCAGCCAAACACACATCTTTAAACTGATTTTTAGGAGTGGTGAGAGATCTGACTCTGATGCTTTGCACCTGCCTTGGAAATTGTAGGGAAGAGGAGTGATGGGCGGGAGTCCAGAGCCAAGACCCTACTCCTCACTGCTGTGCTGGGCGCCTTGAAGCCTCGGTCTCCTTGGCCATACAATGGGCTGGCTGGGAGACAGTGCCTGTGAACGCCGAGCCCAGCGCACCTTAAGTCCTAGCATTTTAGGACCGGCCATCAGAGGCTTGGCCAGTGCAGCCCCAGGCTGCAGGACAGAGAGTCTGCCCCACCTATGAGACGGTTCCTCCTTGGCCCCTGCCTGGAGGGCTTACTCTGTGCTCAAGATTCCAGGTGACAGGCACGCCAGGCTGCTGACCACCGTCCCGTCTCTCCCGGGGAGGTCGAGGCTACTCACTCAGAGTCAGAGCCATCGGCCTGGGCGCTCCCGGCGCGCACGTTCATGGCCATCCCGTTGAGGTGCTCACGGCCGGGCTCCCGCCGCGAGTTCTTGACCGTGATGGCGCAGTCGGAGCCCAGGGAGGACGTGCGCGAGGACGCGGGGCTCTGCTCACAGTCCGCCAGCTTCTCACGGAGCCTGCCCTTCAGCGTCTGCTCCGTCAGCGGCGGCGGGTAGGTTCCCTTGTTTTTCAAGATGCCTGGGAGGAGACAGGTGCAGCCGGCTGGGATCGCAGAGTCCTCCCTGCGCGCCTGCGCTGCTCGGTTCTCCTGGCCCGATGCCCCCGCCCACTCCTAGAAGCCCCGCCCACTCCCAGAAGCCCCGCCCCAGCCTCACCACCCTGGGACCAGGGCTTTTCCCAGCACCCTAGGACCCCTCACGCACCTTTCCTCTGCTCCGGGGGCTGCTGAGCAGACTTGATCGCGACCTCACTCTCCGTGTCTGGGGCGCGGTCCCCGCAGTGACTGCCCTGCTCCTCCCGGTGCAGCTCCACACTGACCCTGGTCTCCACCTTCAGGTGGGGCTGACCACCCGGGCCCTCGCTGTCACTGCCTGCCAAGCTCTCGTCGGGCCAGCCGGCCGGGATGTGGTTAGCCACAGCGTTCCCTGAGCCACAAGAGCCGCACTCAGTGAGCAGCCCGCTAAAAGCCGGTTGGTGCCACCGGCTAAAAACCACGCCCCTGGAGAGTCAACAATCTGGTGGCTCTTGAGTGGCCCTGACCCTAAAGGGGACCCAGAGAGGGAATGTCTGGATAATAGGGACCCTCAGCTGTGACCCCCACGCTGCAGCCCAACACCTGGAACCACGAGTGGCTGCCCTCTGGCAGCATCACCTGCTCCCTGCACGAAACGTCCACAGAGGCCCCCCAAGGCTTTGCGGCCCTTGTTCAGATGCTCAGAGGAGAGCACAGTGGGTGGTGGGTCCTCCTAGGGCCAGGGTCTTCCAACCAGGCCGTGTCCCCGTGTGTCCACAGCTCTGTAGGGCATGTCCTGGAGGCAAGGTCTCCAGACACAGCCAGGGCCTGCCTGATGGCCTCCTGGGCCCCATCACTCACCTTTGGGGGTGCTGTGGATAGGGCCCCGGGCCGGGTCCCATCTGTCTTGGGCCTCCGCCCCGTCATCCTCGCTGTCTGACGAATGTGAGGAGGCATAGGAGCTGCTGTGCTCATCCAGGGACAGCTCGCTATCTGAGTCTGAGTCCTGGCCTGCAAGGGCCATAGGAGGAGATGGGGGATCATGCCCTGGGGGACAGCACGTGTGGCCCCAGGCAAGTGAGAGTATCAAGTCCTTGCTAACACTCTACCAAAGGTGTAAGTGCTCCAGGGACTGAGGGGCTGTGGGGGAGATAAGACCAAGCCTGGGGCTCCTCTGTCCCCAGGGAACTGTACCATGGGGCTTCCTGGGGATGAAGGACGAATCTGGCTCTCCATGGCCACCCCGTGCTGGCCCAGAGGACACACTGAGCTTCTGGATACCTTCGTCCCTGGAGAGGATGGGGAGGGTAGGCTCAGCACCTTCCTCAGAGGACAGATGATGTGGCCACCCAGTGTTACTGGAAGATGATCTGGAAGATTGTCGACCACCACCCCATCTGTGCTCCCGTCCATGACAATAGCAGACAAAGCGGGGCTCCTGAGCGTGGAGGGAGGTATGGACTAGAGCGTCAGGATGAGCTGGGGGCCTCCACACAGACTAGGCAGAGGTGATGAAGCCATGGCCAAGGAACAGCCTCCCCCTCCCCAGGGCCCAGGGAGGACATGGCCGGCCTGACCTGATGGTGCTGTCCAGTGAGGCGGTGGACTCGCCCAGGGCTGTGCGTAGCATCTCGGGGCCGTCACTATACGTGTTGTTGCAGTTAAGTGACCGCTGGGGAAGGACCGGCTGGTTATTTGGGGGTGGAAGCCACCATGCACAGCTGTAGAGGCTGGCTCCGGCCCCATTGCAAGACCTCTGCCCAGCAGAACAGCTAACCTTTACTGCACAGGAGCCCTGAGGGACAGCACCCAACCCAAACCACACTGTAGTCGGGGACACCTCACTGCTATGGCCATGGCCTCCCAAGGGGCCCTGACCCCCATCTTCCTGACTTTGAAAAGTGAGCCCTGCCCTGAATGGTGCCACCCAGCCCTCAGGCCTGCGGGGCCCCGTTGGCGCCTACTGTAAGCAGGGTGGCCCTGGTGGTAGCCGAGTCATCTGGGTGCAGCTTCTTCCCGGTGAGTACCCCCTTCAGGTGTTTCCGGACCTCCCTGCTGAGCACACAGTGGAAGAGGAGGACGAAGAGGCCCTGAAAGGGAACCAGGTAGGTCAGCCCAGGTCAGCCTGCTGGTGCCACCTCCCTGTGGATGCCCAGGGCCAGCCAGCCGGGCAAATAGCTGGGAGTGCCTAGGGCAAGCCTGGCCTGCACCAGGCAGTCCCAGGGTCACCTGGGGTCACCACTGTGTCATCAATCTGCTGGATGGTCCTTGGTGTGACTCATCAGTGGCCACTCCTCCTCCCTGGAGACCAAGTGGGATTTGTGCCACCTGGCCGTGGTTCTGGGGACAGTGGACCTTACCACAAGCCCCTCCTCAAATCCTCGTGGCTCTGCTGCCACAGGGTAGCCCCATTTGCCCACCAGGGCTGTCCCAGCAGTGGCCCTGCCAGGCAATTCCCCCGACTCCTACCTGCAAGCAGCTGAAGATGGCAAAGAGGTAGTGAAAGGCCAGCACGTCGCTGTTCACCGCCAGCAGCCCAAGCAGCCAGGTGGCACTGACCAGCAGCAGCAGGAGGAAGGCCGTCCTCAGCAGGGGGCTGCGGGCAGGGGCAGGGGCTGAGCCCAGCCTTCTCTCTCTCACTCACCTCCCCATTTATCTGTCTGTCCACCCGTCCACCTGTCCCTCTGTCCACCCACTCATCATCATTCATCCTCAACTCACACGACACCCTTTCTTTCATAATAGTGGTGCTTCCTGTGGCAGGACACCCTTACAGACAGGACAAAGATGACTGTATTGATCTGAAAAGGGTAAGAGAAAAAGCCTGAGTCAGGTGGGTGTCAAAGACTTGGAGGCTTCTCCATCTGCATCTCAGAGGAAGGCCTGGGACCCTACCTGTGGCATGAGGCTGACCTGCCCAGCCCTGCCCAGGCAGGGCCATCACACCAGCCTGCCTGTGCGGGGCCCAGAGTTGAGGCAGAGCAGTCTCACGGTGGGCACAACATGAAACCTGGAACCTGGGATCTGAGGGCAAGGCCTGGGACTGGCCTGGCAGCTTTACGGACCACAGCCCTGAGAGAAGCCCTCCCAGCCACAATATAGCCCCGGAAAGAGTGAGTAGCACCGGCCAACTCGGAACCTCCCTTCCAACCAACACACCCTTCAGATATCTGGGCACATGTGTCCCCAAGAATCTGGATTCTGGGAAGGCCCCAACACTCACAATTATAACTGCTCCGATGGGCCCAGCAAAACTCCAAATCAGGGTGTCCTGAAGGGACAGCCAGCAGAAGTCAGGGTTCCCATAGCCCTGGGGGTCGAGGCCAACTGCCAGTCCTGACACACGAGGAAGGCAGAGAAGAGTGAGGGACACAAACTCAGATGGCCACCCCTGCCCAGTGTGGGGCAGCACCCCCAGGACCAGCTGGGGCAGGACACAAGCGGGGCCCAGCATGGCCCCAGTGTTGGGAGCCCCAGAGAAACAGCCAGGTGTAAGGAAGGCCCAGGGAGCCCTGCACATCCCTGCCCCGAGGCTTAGGGTAAAGGGCATAAGAGCTGCTCCAGGGTCAGCCCCACAGAGGCCCAGCCCAGCTGGGGTCTGCTGAGGAAGATCAGGGAGGGCAGAAACCCGATGGCACAGAAGGAACTATGAAGATAGTATTGGGGTGGGAGGGGATGTGAACACACGCACACCCCTCACATGTACACACACTCGGGACACTATACACACATCACACATGCAACTGTGCCGACGCACCACACATGTGCACACACGCTCGGGACACACACTGTGCACACATCACACACGCACACTGTGCCAACGCACCACACGTGTACACACGCTCGGGACACACAATGTACACACATCACACATGCAACTGTGCCGATGCACCACACATGTGCACACACGCTCGGGACACACAATGTACACACATCACACATGCAACTGTGCCGACGCACCACACACGTGCACACAGGCTTGGGACACACACTGTACACACATCACACATGCAACTGTGCCGACGCACCACACACGTGCACACAGGCTTGAGACACACACTGTACACACTGTGCCGACGCACCACACACATGCACACACGCTCGGGACACACACTGTGCACACATCACACATGCACACTGTGCCGACGCACCACACATGTGCACACACGCTCGGGACACACACTGTGCACACATCACACATGCAACTGTGCCGACGCACCACACGTGTACACACGCTTGGGGCACACACTGTACACACATCACACATGCACACTGTGCCGATGCACCACACATGTGCACACACGCTCGGGACACACACTGTACACACTGTGCCGACGCACCACACACGTGCACACAGGCTTGGGACACACACTGTGCACACATCACACATGCACACTGTGCCGACACACCACACACATCCACACACACGTGTACACACGTGCAGGCATTCATCCGCACACTCACCACTGAGGCTGCTAGGAAAACTGCTTGCATTCAGATAAGAACGTGAGAAACCCCCATTTCTCCCATAATCTAAGGTGTAGGCGCATCTCTAACACCCACCTAAGCTGGGTCAGGACTGCCCATCCCTGCGGAGCCACTGCAGCCCCAAGTCTGGGGCAGGAGACACTGGCCGCTACTCCCATGTGCCCCTCCCACACCTGGATAGCTCTGCCTACTTGTCCCCATTTAAAGCTTCTTGTTATTAAAACCTTAGAAAGATGGTGTCTCGGCTCAGCGCCTATAGCTCAACCAGCTAAGGCGCCAGCCACGTACACCTAAGGTGGCGGGTTCGAATCCCCAGCCCAGACCCGCCAAACAACGACGGC